CTTCTATTGTCAAAGGACTCAAAACCCATAAACAAAATCCGGTCAAACTCTACTATTTTATCTCTGGAGACACCCTTGAAGCTAAAGAAAATGGGTAATCTCTGAAAATTTCACTTTTTACTCTTTTAAAAAGACCTCTCGAATGAAAGCTGATAATGAAGATGGTGAGGAAGAAGAAGAATCTGATGTAGAAGGGGGAGATTTTTGGCGGATTTCCTTCATCAAGCCCCGCCCCAATGACTTGCTCTATAACACAATTAATTCCTGGTTGCCCATAACGTCAATCTTCCCTTATTTCACTAGTGGTTTTTTAATTTAATTTAATTTTATAAGATTTATGGTTTCATGTTTAACGGGTTTGCACATATTTTTAAGATTTTTGGCTTTTTTATTAATGGGTTTAACTTTTCACCGAAAATGAGAGGGAGAGAAAGAGGGGGTGGGAATATTGGAGGGAAGGCCGGGGTGGGTGGGCGAGAGGGTGAAGGGAAGAGGGTTGTGCGGCGTCGATAGCAGGGGCATAGCACAGGGAAGACAGAGGAGGGAAGGGTTGGGGTCATTAAAGTTGGAAGGGTAAAGTTGTAAGCCAAAGTCTAGTTGTAAAATATATTTTTATTTTATTTTAAAAAGTACACGTGGCAGATTTTGAATGGGAGTATCACTAGCTGACGTGGTGATACAGTATCATTCTATAATTTCTCCTTCTACAGATTTCTCGGTTCAGAGTGTTAGAGATTTTGATATTTTGGAATGGTTCAGTGCGGCTCTTGTCACCCATTCTTCACCTCAAGAGACTCTGTTATGCTTGCTTATATTTAAATCAGATTTATTTAAGTATGCAAAAGGAGAAAATAAGATCGGTCAACTTTAGCAGCAATGAGAAAAAAGAAAAGGAAGCAAATAAATATTTTTCCTTGTTTTAGTCCAATTTCTTTAGGGAATAAAATGCATTGATGATGAAGATCCATAGAATAAAATGCGAAAGAAGAAAAAAGAAAATACATATGTTTTTGTAATGGCTAAGTTATGTTATTAAAAAGTAAAAACCTATAAGATGATTTTATAGTTAAAAAATAAATTAATAATTGTCATATATTTTATAATTTGATTGAACTTATAACACTGCGTGGAGTACCAGGTTGTGTTACAAGTTACAACCACGCCGACTGATATCTCGAATAATATAAATTTAAACATACAATTGAATAAAACTTCATTATCAATATTTTCCTTATGATTGGTAAAAATTATGCATTTGCTTCCTTGATTACCACTAGTTCTCAAATAGTCATTTAAAAATCTAAAAGAAGTTTGTTATTGGCATTCTACAAAAATCATGCAACTCATTCATAAAAATTGGTTGATCCAACGGTTATGGTGGTGCAACCCTAACTGGAAAGCTGATGCAGAGGCTGCACAGTAGCATTACTCATTAGACGACAAGTCGACAACCGGCGGTCAAAGACGCATGCGTTTGTTTTGTTTACCGGTTACAGTCAAATGCTCTTTGTTTTTATATTGGAAAGTATCAAATCTTCCTTGTTGCTCAAGCCAAAAATCTTGGCCAAATGGGTAATTTACGTTAATTTCCCTAATTTTACTGCTGTAATTACTCTGGTAATTACAAACGGATATGGGTCCCCCATCTATTTTCCGTTACTGATCTGATTTTATGACCTTGGCACATCCTTGGGCCGTAGCTTCAGCCTTGACAGCGGCGTGGGCCTCTCTGCAAATCATATAGTAGGCCCATATTAAAATTTTCAGACAAGACCCCTAAACTCATTTTTCTATTTTTGTTGTTGATGGGTTGGATTATATGACTGAAGAGGAGAAAACAAGTCTCCTCTCGATGCAAACATGAGTTATGCCGATTAGTCAGTGAGCTCACTCCTTTGCATCCAAATTTCAGGTCTCAATTCCATTCATACTCTCGCCCATCTCGCAAACCAGGGCGGGGTTGTATGTCGTCAACATAACAAACCCATGATTGGCATTAGGTTAGGCTTTATCACACCATGTGAGAGATTAGAAGTTTAAGACGGAATCAACAGCTACATAATCCTCTTGTGATGTGAGGGAGGAGAGGGAAAAAGGAAGGGGCTTGCTAGAAGGCCAGAGCTTATAGGTCATGAGTAAAGATGGAAAGGCTTTCTTCCCTTCATGCACGTAGACAACTTTATTGAATTGAATAGTATTTGCGAGTGAAAAAAGAGAATGAAAAGGCTCTGTTTGATTGTTGATGGTATGATTATGTTTGGTGATGGGTTCAAGAAAAGCATGTTTTCCTATTCCCAGCTCACCCCCCACGCCTTCTGCATAAAGTATAAGATTATAGACTTTTTCAGCCCCCTTTTGTATTTTAATTTCAAAAAGTGTTGCCCTAGGTAGCCCTATTGTTAGCTGCCTATAGCTGGAGGAGGAGGGTGCAAAAAAGCAAAAAACTTTCTTGTAACGAAGATATTACTGTTTTGTTATACCCGGTCAAAAATATCAATGGCGGAGGTAGAGTTTGATGTTTGAAGGGGGGCACAAGCTTAAAAATATGATTTTTTTTGTGCAATCTATGCCTATACTCTCTATATATTCAAGGATGTGAGAATATAGTAGGGGACCCAGACCGTCTAAGGTCTGTGAATAGCTCCGCTCCTGAATAACACGTGAAAAAGTTAGTCCACATGTCGTTGCATTATTGATTGGGGATAGGAAAAAGTGTTATTTCCACATGATAATTTTTTTCACAAAAAAGGCCCTTCATGAGGGTCCCATTAGTAGCGATTAAGTAAAGAGATTAATCAATGAAAATTATGAGATAGCGAACATATTATATAATGTGTCTTTGGGAAGAAAAAAAGAACATATTATATAATGTTTTTAACTTTTGCGTGTAGCAAAAGAGAAAAGACTTTTTATGTGTAAACAGATTTTCCACAAGATTAGTACACATATTATGCATATTAACTAATGGTAACCAAATAAACCTGCAGTTATATGATAGATGCTTTTTGATGGTTGAACAAAAATGGCCCACAAAATGGGAAATAAGTCAAAAACCTTTTCCTTTTCTTCCCCCACACGTATAATCTTGGAAACAATATAAAGCTACCTATGTTGGGTCATCTAATCGAGTATGTTATGTAATTGAACACGATCAGTACTGAATATCGACTGTTGATTTTATAATTATTTGATCTAATCTAACAACATAATATGTTAAATATTTAACCTGAAGATCCTTGCCGGAAAATTTCTTGGAGAGGCCGGAATTTACCCTCTGTTGATGTCCACTATGTGTTCGACTAAATGCCTCAAAGAGGGTTTATTGTACTTTTAACCTTTTAAATATTGTATTTTCCCGAAAAAGTCCTAGCTCCACCACTGTATGTGGAAGTGGAACCCTTGACTATAATATGAAAGCACAAGTCAATTTCAACATAGTTTTGTCTTTGTAGCTGGAATTAATAGCAGTGATAATATTGTTCCTGATCAACATCAAAGAAACTTGGGGTCTGGTCTGGGGAGCCATGCATTATGCGTATAATTCAAGTCTTACATTTACATTTCCACCCAACAATCCCCTCCCCAACTAATTCAGTGGACACTGCATTCAAAAGGGTTAGTACAAGTAAAAGTTAAAACACTTTTTTATTTAATCACTTAATTTTGTTTTTTACTTGGAAAAAGAGTGATTTAATTGGCTTTTCACCTGAACTGCTTTTCCCCTGTTAATTTTCTTTCAGGTAAAAGAAAGGGTTTGTTTGGAAAGAAAGAAAAACCAACATCACAGCCAGCACTAGCTTTCTGTAAAGAAATGTGTAAAGCCATCATTTTGTTGACTTTGATCCTCGAATCTTAAATTTTCCACATCTGTGGCCTTTCATGGACTTCTCTTGTGTTGACCAAGTCACCCACCACCACCTTGTTATTTCCACACCTCCCTTCACCCTTTTGCCATTTTCCGGCCATGCATATCCCTTTCCTTTTTATTTATTTATTTATTTTAAATTTCTCCCCTAAATATTTTTTTGTTTTGTATTTAACCACATTTATGTTTAGTTGCACAACCAAACCCACTCTTAGACTAAGTAAACATTTCAACCTAACAGAGAAAAGTAAAGCATAACGTTATCCATAATAGCAAGTAACTTACACTACATCATTCTCAACAGTTGATATATAACCAAAATAAATTTGTTACATATGGATCGAGGAGGGCCGGCATGGTTTTATAATCCATAACAATAATTTAATCGACTACATGGCAGTCAAAGAGCTTCAAACGATGGAACATTTTTTTTTCCTGCAAAAATTATAATTTAATTTTCTCGAGAAAACTAAAGTGTTTTAGCGTGTATTTATTTATTATAACTTATCGTGAACATGAAAATTAGTGAAGCAAGCACATGAAATTCTTTATTAAATTTAAATATTGATTTACAAGACCGTAATATGTATATGTGGCGCTACCTCAGCGCGCCAATTGCAACGAAGAGAAGGGCTAATCGTATTTAATTAGGCTAATACCAATTTTAATTTCTGGTTCCAGACAATTACAATGGGCCACTGACTAAGTCAAACGCTCGTAGTCACGCAAAGACTTTAACTTGTCCACCGGTGAACCTACTACAACAACTAATGTCCATCGGATTCGAGCCCTCCACACGATACACCAATCCAAAAGCCTCACATCAACGGCTGAGATTATCTGGTGCCTTTAAGCCATTTTTAATTTCTTAAAATATTATAATTCAAGAGCCAATCGTGCAAAGTGGTTGGTAGCTAAAAGATCCAAGCTTAAAGCTGACCTTTTTATCCTAAACCCCAATCAAAACCAAGATTAAAACTTCATTGCCATTAAAAAATGTTCACAAAATATACGTGGAATAGGGGAGTTGGCCAAAACAGTGAGTCGATTGTCGAAATTTTTTGGCGCACCACCCCAATGTAATATGTTCCCTCCAACACTAGATCCCCATCCAATTGCTCGCACGATCATATACTAAACAAAAAATGACAAAAATTCGAGTGACCGACGAACAGAGTTTCTGAGAAACTTAACCCGAGCTCTCTAATTTCCACACAGAGGATTAATTGATTAAATCCAAATAAAAAGGTTGTTAATTTATATTTTTCCTTTTTCAAAAAGTTTCAATTTTCAGTTTTTTTGGGGTCTCTCAGCTGATCAGCGCGCGTTCTCTCTCCTTCTTTCACATCTGTCACGCACAACCGGCGGCACCACCACGACCACCAGCAGACCAAAACGGCCCGTTTTGGTATAAAGCCAGAAGGAGCAACCTCATAGAGGTTGTTCTTTGTTCTTTTCTGCTCTGTGAAACTGGTCTCTGTGTGTGCTTTTGAAGCTGAAGAAGAAGAAGAAGGAGGAGGAGGAGGAGGAGGAAGAAGAAGTTAGCAAGCTGAGGCTTTTACAGCCATGGGAAACTGCAACGTTTGCGTGAGAGCGGACGTCGTCGACGACAAAAGTACCAACAACCGCGACAAAAAGAAGAAGAAGACCGGAGAGCGACGGCCCAACCCGTTCTCCGACGACCCGATCCGGTCCCCGGCTCCGATCCGAGTTCTAAAGGATGTGATCCCGCTCGGTCACCGGACCCGGATCGGCGACAAGTACATACTGGGTCGCGAGCTGGGTCGGGGCGAGTTCGGCATCACGTATCTGTGTACGGACCGCGAGACGAAGCAGGCCCTGGCCTGCAAGTCCATATCCAAACGCAAGCTCAGAACCGCGGTACAGAAGCTGAAATGAGAAAACGACATGTCGTTTCTTTTGCTTGTTTTTGTAATTTTGGGTTTGTTTTGTTCAGGTGGATATAGAGGATGTGAGGCGGGAGGTGGCGATAATGTCGACGTTGCCGGAGCACCCGAACATAGTGAAGCTGAAGGCGACTTACGAGGACAACGAGAACGTCCACTTGGTTATGGAGCTCTGCGAAGGCGGCGAGCTGTTTGATAGGATTGTGGCCAGAGGACATTACAGTGAGCGAGCTGCGGCCAACGTGGCCAGGACTGTAGCGGAGGTGGTGAGGATGTGCCATGCCAATGGGGTTATGCACAGAGACTTGAAGCCTGAGAACTTTTTGTTCTCTAACAAGAAAGAGCACTCGCCCCTTAAGGCCATCGATTTTGGGCTCTCTGTGTTTTTCAAGCCCGGTACGTTTCTGGGTTTTTGTTGAATTTGGTGATTTCTATCTGGGTTTTTGGGTTTTCTGGTTTTCTTTTTGTCCTTGAGCTTGTATTTTGTTTTTGAAATTGTTGTTTTGATGGATTTTAATTTTGGGTGTGTGGGTTCAGGGGAGAGGTTTATGGAGATTGTGGGGAGTCCGTACTACATGGCCCCGGAGGTTTTGAAGAGGAATTATGGACCAGAGGTTGATATATGGAGCGCCGGTGTAATTCTTTACATTTTGTTGTGTGGGGTTCCTCCATTCTGGGCAGGTATTGTAGTAAAACTAGCTCTCCAATCTTTTTGAAACCCTGTTCATTTTCCATTAATTGGGTGGGTTTGATTTTAGTTTCGGATTGTAACATTGGTTTTCTTTGTTTGAAATTTTTGCAACAGAATCTGAACAGGGTGTTGCTCTCGCAATCTTGAGGGGGGTGATTGATTTCAAGAGGGAACCCTGGCCTCAGATTTCGGAGAGTGCTAAAAGCCTTGTTCGGCAGATGCTGGAGCCGGATCCTAGAAAACGCTTGACTGCTCAACAGGTGCTTGGTAAGCCTTCAGCAGTGTTTCTCACTGAATCTTAACTTGATGCCATTTGAAGTGAGTTGCACAGTAGGTAGTAGCATTTTGATAGCAATAGCAGTGTTGATTGGTGATGGATTATGCACTCATCTTCTTTGTTTTAGAAACCTGGAAACTTTGGAGTCTACATTCCATGGCATTATTTGAATCTGAGTGAAGTATTTTGATGTTACATGAACATTGCATTACAATCGTTTTCACAATTCCTTAGTAAACATCAAACAACTCAGACCTACTATGCAATACATGAAGTCAAGTAAAACAAGTGAAATCATTGATGAAAACAATGTAGCAACATAATAACCATACGTGGAGGGTCCAGATATCATAATGGGGAGCACTCTTTTTTGCATTATATATAACTGTGAATTAGGGTGAAATTCGGGATAAGACAGAGGACCAGATGTTTTTATAGTCTAGTTTCAGTTGAGTTTTACTGCTTTGTATGATATTTTGATCGAAAAAATTCTTATTCATCAAAAAACTAAAAAGAGAAGAAATGTTAAATACTGTAAGTTTGCTGGATAATGAAAACCTGTACTTATAGGTTCTTATGGGCTTGGCATTACTAAGGATATGAAAACTAGTTGGATTTAGATAGGCAAATTGGCTGGACCGGGGGTCAATTTTAAACACCTCTTTGATCTCCTTATGAAAAAAAACTTATTTTTAGTCTGATGGGTCCAATAGTAGAAATTCAAGTAAGCAGCACACCTAAAATATGTCCTTCGAAGCAAAATCAATTTAACCTGATTTACTCTTGCTCCTTTGCCATTGTAGTTCCTATTTGATTTAGAGTTCTAGCCAAGGTTTGAGAATGTTTTCAGTCCTTGACCAAACTAGACGAAACTCATTTTTTAAGTTACCAGTGTGTCATGTCTATGCTGCCACAAGATTGAATAACTCTGCAACATAACTTGTATTCTGTGAAATAGGCTAACAAAATTTTGTTTTGCCTTTTGTGATTACAGAACATCCATGGTTACACAATGCAAAGAAAGCTCCAAACGTTCCATTAGGAGATATAGTGAGGCCAAGGCTCAAGCAGTTCTCAGTGATGAATAGATTCAAAAAGAAGGCTCTAAGGGTGAGCATCTATAATTGGTACTTTATGAGTGTCAGCTGAAGTATTGGCTACTATTGCAATGATCTGTGATTCACAAAATATATGTAACATTTGGGATTTTTTTTTCTTCCAATCAAATGCTGTAGGTAATTGCAGAACACTTATCTGTTAAAGAAGTGGAAGTAATCAGAGACATGTTTACATTGATGGACACTGACAAAGATGGCAAAGTAACATATGAGGAATTGAAGGCTGGGCTTCAGAAAGTTGGTTCACAATTGGCCGAACCAGAGGTTAAGATGCTGATGGAAGTGGTAAGTTGTGTGGTTTTAAATTCATTTGGGAAGAGTTTCATTTATTTTAATTTCATTTCTATGCTATAACTTTTGCATGGATGTGGCTTCATTATGGTTCCCATTACGGTTTTGAGAAAAGTTATTCATCTTCATGCTCCAAATATCTTACAAAGTAGCTCCTTGAACTAAAACCACAATTACTTTACAGCCAATTGATGTTAATATATTAATAATCTATAATAGTCACTTAGAATTTGGAAGTATTGTTGTATATCTTATATATAGGATCCATTTAACAATAAACTGATGCCTTCTGCTTTATTTTGTGTAGGCTGATGTTGATGGAAATGGAGTCTTGGACTATGGAGAGTTTGCAGCAGTGACAATTCACTTGCAGAGAATGGAGAATGATGAGCATCTCCGCAGAGCGTTTGTGTTCTTTGACAAAGATGGAAGTGGATATATTGAGTTAGGTGAGCTAAGGGAAGGTTTACTAGATGAATCAGGTGAAATTGATAATGAAGTGCTGAATGACATCATGCGTGAGGTCGACACTGATAAGGTTTGACTTTCAAGCCTTTTAATCTCTTTTATTTGTTAATACTGGAGTTGCTTGCTCCATTTGTTATTAATTCTTATTTATTGTTATTCTTTGCAAAACAAAAGGATGGACGTATCAGTTATGAGGAGTTTGTTGCGATGATGAAAACTGGAACGGATTGGAGAAAGGCGTCTCGGCAGTATTCAAGGGAGAGATTCAAGAGTTTGAGCCTCAACCTGATGAAAGACGGTTCATTGCAGCTTCACGACGGGCTAACTGGTCAAGCAATTGCTGTATAACTTGCATTCTTGTTTAGATTGTGCATGCTGGGGGTTCTCCTTCTCTTTTATTGTCCGTACACTTGAAAATCGCGGCAGATGGGGTTTTTGTAAACCGAGGTTTGAGGGCAGATATTGAATCAACCTTCCTGGACACCATTGGCTTGGCTTAGTAGGTTGTTAGATTGTGGCTGAATGAAGCTTTGCATCCAAGAAAGGCATGTTAGGTTGCAAGGGGAGCTGTTTGTGGAGATCATCGACTCTCAGTGTATACATAGTATGTAGATTTTTTCGATCATGTGTCACATACGCTTGTATATTTGTCATCTCTACATCATTTTGTGTATTTGTCATCTCTACATCATTTTGTGTTTAATGGTTTTTTGCTTACTAAATGGATGGCAATCGATTTGTTTCATTGGCCTTGTAAACTTTGAGCTGAGATGTTCTCAGTTTGTATTTATTAAAAAGTGATCCTGATTTCTTGTGTCATTGTATGGATATTTTTTCCAACACCATCTTTTGCTTCCTAAAGGCAGTTATTAGCTACCACACAAATTAGAGAAGGGATGGCAGGGAAAGAGACTAATTTGGCATGTACTGCTAATTACATTTTTTTAGTACAAATGACGGCTAAATGCATCCAAACAACATTGTGAAAGAATTTGTACATATAATAATAATGTAATGAAAACTTAAAATATATCTTTTTGTGTAATCAGTGTACTTAATTACTCAAATAACAAAGATCTTTACCAGAAAAGCACTTAAATAATAATCAGAAAATTTCTTTGGGCCCCCAATATTCTGAAGGCTCCACACTCATAAAAAAATTAAAATTAAAATTAATTCAACTAAAAAATACCTAAACATTCAACTGCCATCTCAAACCATTTTATTATTATTTAATACCCAAACTCTCTCTCTCTCTCTCTCTCTCTCTCTCTCTCTCTCATCTTGTAATTCCTCTCTTTCCTAGTTAGTTTGGTGCACGTTAACAAACCAGTCAGTATCATAATACAACATGGAATGTGGAGTATAGCGATAAGAATTCAATTAGCTAGAAGAACAAAAATGGGTTAGAGGTTATAGATAACAAAACAAACTCTAATTCTTTGCATACGTGAGTCAATAATCTACAATTAATTATCATATCTTTTATTTATAAAAAAAAGCGATAATATTTTATTGATCGAATCAAAATAAACCACATTTACATGATTTCAAATATTTAATATATATGTATATAATGAAGCACAAATGTAGGCACATATGGTTACAAATGGCAACACTAAATTATCTTTAATATTCAAATTTATGTTCAAAATTGTTTAAATCAAAATATGATTCTTATATTATAGAAAGCTTAATACTTTCCTATTATTATTAGGAATTGTCATTAAAGATAATGAACGCGGGACCCTCGTGATTATATGATATCGTCCCCGGCCGGTCTGGGCTCTCCCAATTCATAACCGAAACCCCCAGCGAAAACGAAAAACGAAAAAGCGCAGAACAAGGAGGAGGCGATAATGGGGGTGGACTATTACAACATACTGAAAGTGAATCGGAACGCGACGGACGACGACCTGAAGAAGGCGTACAAGCGGCTGGCGATGATTTGGCACCCGGACAAGAACCCGGCCGGGAAGCGACCCGAGGCCGAGGCCAAGTTCAAGCAAATCTCCGAGGCCTACGACGTCCTCAGCGACCCGGCCAAGCGCCAGATCTACGACCTCTACGGCGAGGAGGCTTTGAAATCGGGCCAATTCCCCCCGCCCTCTTCTTCCTCCTCGTCTCGCTCCGGCGCTGGGCCCCACTACTACACCAGCCACGTGCACCACCACCAGCGCCACCCAAATGCCTCCACCTTCAGGTTCAATCCCAGGGACGCTGAGGATATTTATGCCGAGATTTTTGGATCGGACGGCGGCGGCGGTGTCGGTGGCGGTGGCGGGAGGTATAGGGATGGATTCTTTAGGACGTCCAATGGTGCTGGGCCAGAGTTTGCGGGACCTAGTGGTAGTGGGCCTGGGCCTGGGCTTGGGAGGAAGGCCAATGCGGTTGAGAATTTGTTGCCTTGCAGCTTGGAGGAGCTCTATAAGGGGGTCAAGAAGAAGATGAAGATTTCCAGAAACATCTACGATGCTGTTGGTGCTGGGTAATTCACTTATCTTCAATCTCCAATTTTTATGTTTTTTTTTTTTTTTTCACCCAACACGAAAATTTTTGGTTGTTGTTAACTTGTTTGTTATAATGCCGATGTGTGGTTGGTGAGTCTTTCTTTCTTTTGAGTTGATTTTGGTGAAGCTAAAGTTGGTGAATTTTTTTAACTAATCTACAGTTTAACCAAAATAGTGTTGTGCTTTGCCCCCCAGTTTATAAAAAATAATAATAATTGTGTTGTGCCCATGAAGCTCAGCTAAATATCTATGTATCTGATGAAAAATGCTTGTGTTAGCAAAGAGGTAACAAGTTTGTATTGTGCTTGCTTATTGATTTGGATTTAGATGCTGTAGATAATTGTCACATAAAGCACCCAATTAAATCAAATAAAGCATAAAGAGGTTTGTGACTTGTTGCTCAAGTATATAAAGTTGGTCTGGTTGAGAGTGAAGGTCAGCTGGTCTATGCTTATGTGTATGGGTTTAGTACAGCAAGCACCTTCCAGATATGGTTGTGATTGGGAGAAAAGTATGCACGCTCACTTAGCTCATGCCTAGTGGCAGCACTAAGATAAGCTCAAGTCTTTGGTGTTTATTGTTAGGGCTGGCTCTGTCAACATTGCAGGTTTCTCATCTTTCTTGGATTTGAGGGGCAGGTTCGTGATGGGAGTACAAAGTTTGTGTCATTTCTTAGTTTAGTTGGTCCTGCTGTTCTAGATTTGAGTTGGGTCTGCTTGATTTTACAAGGGTTAGAAATGTTTGTTACACTTGGTAACAGAAAAATTAGATAATAATATTTAAAGGACAAGTTAAAGTTGTTATCCCAATCTTGCAGAACATGGTATATGCTCTCTGGTAGGCTAATAACCATGGGTAGCCTCTCTCCTCCTTGATCTCTGACTTCCCATGAGTTGAACCCTAGACTTTCCAAAGGGGAGAGAGTTATAGTTAACAACGACCACGGCCAGTGTATTTTCCATACTATATTGCCTAGTTTGTGGGTTGTGGTATGAATTGAGCCTTGCGTTTGAATGCTTACATCTATTGCCACATTCTTGATTCAATCTTATTTTTCCTACCTGTCTTTGTTATTATTATTTGATATGCAAGATCAGGAACTACCTGGGTTTCCTCATCTAATTATATGCTTGAAGCATGGTTTTGTTGCTTTACTTTCTTTGGCCTTAAGGCCAAAAAGACAGGATCCAACCCGAAGATGTTGCCCTTTCCAGTTGGTTGGATGTTGTCCTTTGGGGCAAGATCAAGTGTTATTCATGTTTTTGTAAGAATCATCTTGCACTAAATAGAGTTGAGACTATTTGGCGTCCGTAATGTGATAAGAGAAGTAAAGTTTGTAATGCCGAACCTTTTCGTTTCGAAGTGTCTAGGTGTTGGTAATTTGTTGTTGCCTTTGCGGCAAGAAGCATGTCTGATAATGATTAAGCAGCATACATGCCACTTTTTGCTTAGGGATCTCACTTTCCACATTTAAAAGAAGAATCAGCACATTTCATTTTTTGTTTTCTGGTTTCTTGGGTTTTCATACTCCCCTTTGAGCCAATACATGTTAAAGTAGATAAATTTAATACCTACTACTTGTTAGAAAATGAATGAATCTAGTCGGGGTGTTTGTCTGTATGTGTTTTCTTTTCCCTGTTAAAGGTCCGAAAGGAGTAGTTCTCAGTAAGTATTTGGCTTTTGTTAACTTTGACCTGATACATGAGTAATTCTCTTGCAGTAAGGTTCGGACTGTGGAGGAGATATTGACCATCGAGATCAGACCTGGTTGGAAGAAGGGCACAAAGATCACCTTCCCGGAGAAGGGTAACCAGGAGCCTAATGTCATTCCGGCAGATCTCATTTTTGTGGTAGATGAGAAACCACATGCACTTTATAAGAGGGATGGTAATGATCTGGTGGTCAATCAGGAGATAACACTGTTGGAGGCACTTACTGGCAAGACTCTTGACCTAACCACCCTAGACGGAAGGAATCTGGTGGTCCCGTTAACTGATATCATCAAACCTGGAGCCGAGATGGTTGTACCAAATGAGGGGATGCCAATCTCAAAAGAACCTGGGAAAAGGGGAAACTTGAGAATCAAGTTTGATGTCAAGTATCCTTCACGACTCACCACAGAACAAAAGTCTGATCTGAAAAGAGTTCTGGGAGGAGTTTCATTATGACTGCTAACTATGGATCTAAAGGTTGACCGTAATGTAAATACAATACGTGTATGCTATTATTTGGAGAATGTGAATACTAGAAGCTTTCTGGGGTTAAAGGAAGAGTTATGGGTGCGGTTTTAGCAGGCTCCTGCAATCTGCTTCTTGTGGCACGATGGAATTAATTAAGTCATTTTTTGGGTCAGTTCATTTTTTTTAATTTATTATTTTCATTTGCATTCTATATACCTAGAAATTGTTCTTTGGATTTTGATTAGATAGTAAAGTGAGTTTCCCACTTCTAGAAATTGAATTATTGAATTTGATTGTGTTTGGTGATTAGAGATTCAACTTGCTGGTCCTTTCCTTTTTCTTTTTTTTTAAAAACATTTTCGGCCATTAATTTGAGTTGTACTCGATTTTGTTGCTTAAGAATTATATATGTATTTCATGACTAAATTATTATTATTTTTTTTTTTTTTGCTCTGCTGGTGTAAGAACAGGATCATTTTTCCTTGGCTTGCACTCTAGGTAGGAAGTTATGATTCTCCATAGTCCCTTGCCTGCGGTGTGTTTAGCATCCCTTCTTCAACAACTTGTGCGCTCTTCTTAATCACAGTAGAGTGCCAAGGGGAAGGCACAGGCCCCAAATGATAGAGTAACAGCAAAAAGCATTTATATTAAAGCCTATTAAGCATAATAGGCCATTACCCCAAACAAAAGTAAATAAATAAAGGGCTCGTTTGGTACACAGGACTGTCTTGGCATGGACTATGCTTAGGGGCTATCTTGGCTTGGCTTGGCTTGGTCTAAGTTGGATAACACTTATCCTGCGTTTGGTGTATGCTTGGACTAGGACTAGATTTTTTTTAGTTTTTCAAAACTATCTATGTATATGTATATATGTATAAATACATATTATG